CGTGCGGTACAGCGCAACTGCAGAAGCGAGCGGGGTAAACCGGCCACCTGGTATTTATGCATGGGCATGTACATGGGCCATGGCAATGTACGCTTTTTAAATGTACACATACCCATATGCAAACTTTATTTAAAGAAGACAATATGCACATTTGAATCGACAGAGTATACACGAACAAAAGTGCGTGTAACATTCGGGCACCAGGAAGTGCGATACAGGTTGATACACAAAAGTGCGTCACGCACACACGTTTAGGGGGGTTCATCTCGACATCCGTTTGGCTCTCAGAATCTACGCGTTTCCTCCCTCCCACAAGAGGACGAGCCGCAGGCATCGTCATGGATAATCCATTTGCATTGCGCCGGCAAAATAAGGCCGAATAAATACGTAAACAAGGCGCGCGCGTCGGTGGCACCGCCCGGCGCGTCAAAAAAAGACAAAAACAAACAAACATGGAATAAATAAAAACGCAGAGAGCCGCGTGAGCGCGACAAGTAAAATTTAGCCGCAGCAGCAGGCGAGGAGCCTTCCCCCTGCGCACATGGCAGTGTCCCTCACACGGAGCGCAAACAGATTATTTATACGTGTGTACGCACACTCACACAAACACGCGCGCGCGCTCGAATGTACCGACGGCATGGGCGGCAAAAGCGCCGAAAGGCATAGAGCACACAACACAGAGTACATTGCACTTCTACGTCGTTATACAAGAAAGGGAAAGAAAAGAAAGAAAACAACAGAAAAAGAACTACACCCAAAGCTTCTGTAAGCGTCGCACTTTAAGCAATCTTAAGTTAATCGGGGGCCGTTTATGGGACGACAAGTTGTCTACAGAGCGCCTATAGCAGTTGAGGCGGTATATATACTCACCATGAACGTAATGGCGATCCATGTCTAACGGTGTGGCATGCACAAACAGAACAAGAACGGACTTTAGATTGGGGGGTGGGCAGCTAAACACAGCGGGGCAACACCCACTCACTGACTCACACGTGTACACTCGCACACACACACATGCTCGCACACACACACACACACACACACACACACTCGCGTGAGCGCACCCTGGCTGCTGTAGCGCGCCCCTAATGACACGCCGTGTAAACCTACACACCGCGCACACACACCCCACAATACGTATTACGGTTCGCAGCGAATAAAGCAAAACCGGCAAAGGAGAGAAAAACAACCAAACACACGGCAATGAAGAACCGACATCCATTTTTTATTTTCTATTTTTTTTTTTAACTTTTTTGCACGTGCAACCACTACCATTTCTCCGGCATGCTGACGTTGCTGACGCGCCAGAACAAAAAAATGTAAGAATGAAAAAGGTGTTCAAAATAGCAACATGCGTAAAATGCAGGACGTTTTCTCAGCAAGCGCGGAAGATCAGAGATTTCTGCGAATGGTCCGGTGGGTTCGGCGCGGCTGGAAAGGCAAGGGGAGGGGGGGATAAAGAGATTTTGACGCGACAGTAGCAGCACCACTCTCTCCGGGCAAGAGTTGAACTTCTCTTCATTAATTTACATGACGCTGGTCGGTGCTGGGGATTCTCATCAAGGCGAAAATTACCCTTCGCTCCCATCCCATCCACCTCAGCCTGCCTGACGGGGGCCCGACGGCGGGGCGTGGCGGGACGGGGTGAGGTGAGGGGCGGCGGGGAAGTGTCACGGGGATTCTAATGAGTGTCCAACTAAACAGCCAGATCAGCGCTCCTTGCCTCGGCCGGCTGCGCCGGGCTGCGCCGGGCTGCGCCGGGCTGCGCGGCGGCGTCACGTCAGCGCCAGCCGCCCGCCCGCCTGGCCGGATGGGCCGTCCTCCTCGCCCTCCGCATGGTCACCCGACACAACGATCGCGGCATCGTCGCCATCGTGGCTGCAGCATTAACGCCAATTGAGGAAAGTCGGCCGGCGAGCGCGCGTTTGGAGCAGCGGCAGCAGCAGCCGGAGGGACTTCGGCAAGTAATGATGGAAATGAAATGGTCGTACAACCGTTTTCCGTTACCGCCAGGCATGGCACAGACAGTCGCGTCGCCGGTACTTCCATTCCGTTCCCACACTCTCGCCGGTGCATACACGACGGCGCGGCAAGGCCCCCCGCCCCCCCTCCTCACACACACACACACACACGCACGCACACACACAACAGAAAAAGCTATGGCCCTTGGACGGCGACCAAATGGAGGGGCGGGCGGCGGTGACGGCGGCGGCGGCGGGGTCATCGGCATGCTCTGCACCTGTGCGTCGACGCGCCGGCCGGGGCTCGGGGGGGCCGCGAGGGGAGGACAAGTAGAAGGGCGGGGCGAGGCGGGGCGAGGAAAGGCGGGCCATGGAGGGGCGGGGCAGGCAGCGGGCAGGCCAGCTGCAACCAGCGCGATTAGCGCCCTCCAGCCAACAGCAGAGTACTTGTTATCCACGCACACACAGACACACAGACGCGCACACACACAGCACAGCAGTCACGGCCCAGCAGCAGGCAGCCTGTCGCCATCACTATCACTTGACCCGGTGCGCACAGTCAGCAGCTCCCCCCCTCCTCCTCCTCCGCGGCCCGCGCGGGGCCCAACGCTACGCTACGCCGCGCCACGCCCCGCCACCCGTTTTAAACGAGCCACCTGTCGCCTGGAAGCACGCTCGCCACTGCTGCCGATGCTGCTGCAGCAGCATAGCGAGCGGGACACGGTGGCGGGGCGGGGCGATGAGGTCCCCGTCGGCGGCGGCGGCGGCAGCGCGGTCGTGTCCCCTCAGCGGCTAAAAATACGGCGGCCGGCATACAATGCGCACGCTGCGCCGGTTATGCACGCGCCGCTATGCACGCACCGCACTTGCACCGCACTTGCACCGCACTTGCACTGCACTTGCACTGCACTTACTCCGCACTTGCACTCCACTTGCACCGCACTCGCATCGCACTTGCACGTGACACACAGACACACACTGACACGCCCTGGAGACTCACCCGGGCGTCGAGGTGAGGACCCGCGCGCGGGGACCGGCTGCAGGGCCGGCGGGCACCGGGGACGGACCGAGAGGCTCCCGGACTACTTCGGGGAGGACGGCGACGGCGACGACGCGGTTGGGTAGCGGCGGTAAAAGTAGTGGCGGTGGCGGCGGCGGCGGTGACGGTGGCGGTTGGTGACGGTGGTGGTGGGCCGGGTGAGCGGAGCGGGTGACGGAGTGGGTGTCGGTGATGGTAGAGGAGGAGGACAACACAGGAGTAGTGAAGCTCTGCTTTGCCGCCCAACAACTGACGGGCTGAGCCGGCGGGACTGGCGGAGCGGGCCGGGCTGGCTGCGGGGCGGCGGCACTGCGCGGACGCTATGGTCGGGGCCGTTCGGCACGGCCGCTCGGCTCTCCCCGACGCCCCCCCTCCTCCGCGCCACGACGCCACCCCGCGGCCGAACACAGCCGAGCGACGAGCGGCTCGCGCGAACCTCGCGGGGAGGCGGGCGGCGGCGGCCCGCGGGACGGGGAAGAGCGGGACCAGGGCGGCTCGCGGACCACCTCATCCCCGGCGTGAGGCAGCACGCCGCGCACGCGACGCCGAGAGAAAGGGGGAACCTCCTCCCCCTTTCCTTGTCCCCGCCTCTTCCCGTTCCGCTAAGACCGTCACGTCCGCGAGTGGCTTACGTAACGCCCAAAGTTGGAAGTCATTACTGGATCGCCCTAAAGGGGCGACAGAAGGGGCGCCAGGGGCGTGAGCACCCCCGGTTCGCAACGGGTTTCTACCCGCTTCACTCTGTTGTACTTCACCGCCAAACCCAGCGCACAGGGCAGTACTGTACACCGACGGGCAGATCCCGCTCCGGACGCCGACATGGCTGCGCCGAGCTGCGCGCCGCGCCCCGCGGGTCACTCCCCCATGTCCGGCGTCCACCCTCCTCCCCTCCTCCTCCTCACCTCCCCGGCCGACAACGACCCGACGCAAGAGAGATGAGGGTGGGTCAAGTCAGCAGGGCCTCCCCCGCCAGAGGCATGGTATGGTATAGAGCCAAGGCGGTGCGAGCGAGAAAGGGAGAAAGGGAGCTAGTAGTGAGAAAGAGAGAGCCCCCGCTGCCGCCCCGAGCACGGCATCAGCCAAACAAAACACTTGCTACCCGCTGCAGGTCGCCCCTCCTCCCGCCCCCCGCGCCCGTCTCTCCCTTTCACCTGCGTACGGCGAGCATTACTCTGGGCCCGTCAGGTCATATCGCCACAATCTGCTGTCTGCCCTGGATATCCCTCACGGGCGCCCGGCACAGCCTCGACAAAGTGACCTGTCATCCGAGGGCGGGGCGGGGTGGAGCGGGGGCCCGGAAGGAGGCAGACCAGCGGGGTATCACGACCTCCCCCTTCCCATCCGCAACCTGGGCGAAGGGTTGGCGAGTGCGGCGGCGGCGGTGTTGGAGAGGGGGTCCCGGGGTCCCGGGGTCCCAGGGTCCCGAGCCTTGGGGTCTTCACAGAGCAATAACAGGATCCTTTCACCCTACGCCACGCCACGGCACGCCCCTCGACCTGCTGCCGAGGGGAGCCTGGCTGCTGCTGCTGCGGAGGGGAGGAAGGGGTGAGGAGAGTGTTGGAGAGGGGTGGGGGAGGCAGGCGGGCAGGCGGGGGTGATGAAAAAGGAAGGAAGGAGGCCGAGTAAGGACCATGTAGGCCGGCGGGACGGCGAGACGGCAGGACGCTGAGCGTTGCGCCACCGCGACCCCGCCCCGCGCCGCGCGCAGAGGGAGGGCTCCGCCGCCAGGCTCCGCGAGGAGCTCAAGGCCCGCAATAAATCATGATTCACCTGCCTCAGTGCCTCCTCGGCGGTCTGGACGGTAATTAGTCGGAGAGAGCGGGAGCGAGAGCGAGAGAGAGCGAGAGAGAGCGAGAGCGAGAGCGAGAGAGAGAGAGAGAAATAAAACTGGTGGAGCACTTTTCTCCCGCGGGGAGGACCGGGAGCGAGAGAGAGAGAGAGAAATAAAACTGGTGGAGCACTTTTCTCCCGCGGGGAGGACCGGGGGGTGCGCGACTTACCAGCGGTGGCGGCGGCTTGCGAGACGCGGAGCAGCAACGGCGTCGTCCTCTCCTCTCAGGCCTGAAAACACCAAGCAAGGCGGATAATGCAAAACTGCTCCGGAACAACAACAATAAGCGAGAGGGAAGGAAGGAGCTGTTGGTGCTCCGCGGGCGTTTATCATGGTTGCGGTAAGGAGCTAAAGGAGAAAAGGAAAAGTGGGGGATTCGACCTGCTGAGACCCTGACCCACCCAGTCGGCCCCTGTTTCACATGCCCTCCGCCGTGTCAAACTTACTGCGACTGTTGTACAGGTCGTGACTGACTAAAACACTCTGTCACTCTTTGCAACGAGCTAAACGCATGCAATTTTATACAAAACGATTGATAACTTTGGGAAAACATCCATTTGGGAAAAACTGAACTTTACCAAAATGTTTTTATCTTTATCTGTACCTACAAAATAATTGTGTATTACCCTACTAAACGCACCCCGATATTAAAACAGCTCATGTCTTTTTTTATTCAATAATTAAATCCAATAAATATCTAATATCTCTCTCTCTATTCCCCCCTCTCTCTCCACACACACACACACACAAGCCCCAGGAGTGCACGCACATGCACATCCTCGCGAATCGAATCAGTCCCCCGCGTATGTCCCGGCCGCGGGCGGAGCCCCCGAACCCCCGGTGCATTACGGTGCAATATCTCGTGCACCGCTGGTGCAGCGGCGCTGCTCCGCGCTCTGACGCCACTCCAGTCGGCGGGGCGGGGCGGGGAGGGGCGGGGCCCCACGGGGGGCGCGGCAAACACAATCCCAGCGCCTCATATCGCCAGTGTGATTTGATTCGGCGCGAGTGGCGTCCCCTCTCTCTACCACGGGGGCGGGGCGGGAGACTATACTCCGATAAATCTAATGTCGAGCACGGTATTGTTAGTTGTTGTGCGCCTGCAAGTGTTGGACGAAGTTTGGTTGCACACTGCTCACACGGAGTGCATGACCTGACCAACGCAAGTGTATTAGACGCACTCTCCGCGAACAACATGTCGCAAAATGTTTGCCCGCTGTTTGACAGGCGCACATTTGCTGTCACACCAACACATGTGTAGTACCTATATGCAATTAGTAAGGTCTTTTGCAACAATAAAAGTCTAAAGAGGTTGCGTTAACATGAATCAAGACAATTTTCTGGGTGCCACATCATAAAGCTGATGAGAGAGAGAGAGACAGCTCCAATAATCTCACCAACTGGACTGCGGTCTTGCCTACCCGAAAGAGGCCGTGCCATGCAAAGCTGTGGTCCTGGTGCAGCTCTATAAATATACATCGCAAAATTAATTTCGTCTTGGATATAAAAACTAAAATTACTCAGACGCAAGGCGTAAGACGACGCACAGTGTAGCGAAGCGCACGGGCATTTTACTACGGGCATAACCTCCGCATGATTGACGGCCTCGGAGCAGAGCGGGGTGGGGTGGGGCGTGGCGGGGCGTGGCGGGCCAGCAGAGCTGTAGGCGCCAGCCAGCGACCAATGGCGTAGCAAGGAGGTGAGAGAAAAAGGGGGCTACTTGAGGTAGGTAACCATAATTGTGCTTTTATCACTCATGACCTGCCCTATAGGAAACATATTGCTCACAGAACGGCATGCAGCAGTGCCATCTACAAACCTAATTCTAAACCTTTATTCTTTTCCTTTCTTTTCTCAGAGTGTCTGGCATGGCGCTTCACCACAATGGCGACGCCGGCCAAGTTGTATTATTACCTCGACGACGCCCCGCCGCGCCGCCGGCCGGCCGCGCAGGCCAGGCAGGCAGGCCGCGCGAAGTGCGATCGCGGCGCTTCACGTTTAATGGCCGCTGGGACACCACCGCCAGGCATGATGGGCCAAATACCAGACCAAACATGGCGATATATACCGCTTCTGTGCACCTCTCCCCTACAATGTGCCGCACGAGTTCCCGTGAGGGCGAGTCTCTCTTGTTTTGACGCTTCTGACACTATTGCCAAGTCACACGCAATAGAATGCATGTGGGTTTTGAGTGTAAAATGTGTGCGAGTACGTGTACGTCGACCTTGCCGGTTTTTCGAACGCCCAAGCGGACGCCGGCGTGCTGCACCCGCCTAACTTACGGGAATACATGTGTAACAAGAACCCCGTGACACTGCCCTAAAATGACTCTTCTACGTGGGGTGTGAGGCGGTAGCGGACGGATGCCAGTGTACTGGACCCCGTGGGCCACTGCAAAAAATTATATGAACAGTTTAACAAACAGTTTGAAACTGTCAACTGGTTGGCTGCGACATATGCTGACATTTCAACTGTGGCCAGTTAAGACCTTGCAAAGGCAGTAATTTTATGTGTTGAAGAGTAAAATTATTGACACAATTGAAAGCTGCGAAATTGTTACTGTAAATTGCAGGGCGAGTGAAACAAGTTACAGTTGTTTTAAACTGTAGACTCTAAGTATGGCGTCGATTTCTTCTACCATAGCCATAAACTGTAGGGTTCATTTTACAGAGTGTACGGCGCAGTACGAGTCGAGTACAAGTAGAATGTGGTACCCCCGCCGCCGGCCCTAGCCCCTCGCATCCACGTCTTCCGGCGGCACAGCACCGCTTCCGTACGATGACGAAATTACTTTCCTGTCGGATCCAACAAGTTCCGCCCTCCTCGCTGCCACGCAACTTTTGCCCGGTCGGCGCCGCCGCCGCGCGGTGTGCGGCCCGGAAGCTAAGGAGGGCTGTATATGCAGCGGGAGCAAAGCCCGCAGGGGGTGGGCTGCTGGAGGTGGTGAGACAGTATGGTGCACACTCTGCTTTGCAAACGAAATTCTTTTCCAACGTTACGGTGAAGAACTTTCGGTCACTGTACTGTTGTACACGTTGCAAAGAATTGGGTCGTACGGCGGAGAAGATATTTTTGCAAGCTGTCGGAATTTTTGCGAGGAAATTAGTTCGAAAGGTTTGCAAACTTGCGAAGAACCAGTTCGCATCGCATTGTTAAAAGATTCTTGTGCAAGTTCCAAAGAACATTACTTGTAATATGCTCAACTTGAACATTACAAGCATTCTGTTGGCACATATAGCAAGAAAGGGGGAACTTCGAACTGCTTGAACTTTATTAGTTTGATGGCAATTAGTTTTTCCAATGCAGTCGCGGCCCGCGTGGTGTGGCGGCAGAGTGCCGCGTAGGCCAGGTCAGAGAGCGAGCGAGAGAGACAGTGAGAGACACTGAGAAAGAGTGGCGGCGAGCCAAGTGCAGCCCCAAATGACAACGCACGGGTCGGCCCGTGAGGCACTGCACCGCTGCACCGCTGCATCGCCGCCCTCCTGGCCGGTCGCACAACACAGGGCGCCTGTGCTGAGCTCAGCATTATCAAGACGACGGACAGAAGCTCTGCTCATTTGTAGCTCCTCGTGCACGACACAGGCCAGTCACATACATGACCCAAGGTTTTTCAGTCCGGCCAGTATAGCCACCCTAGGTGTGAGGCCCTTGCACCAGGGCACACATTGCAGACCTAGAATGCTGATCCTGATTTCCGGTAACGCCCGACGTCCTAGCTCGTAAGTTGACAGCGAAAGTAGACGCAGCAGCCCCAATTATTCCTGTACCACTTATCATTTACTCGCCTCACAGCATTCACCGAATCGAGTAAATGGCAAAGTCGATAACGGCGGCAGTTGGGCTGTTGTACCTGTGCGACGCGAGCGCCAAGGAGGAAAAAAAGGAGAGAGGGAAAAGTGGCGTGCGAGACAGCAGAGGAGGAGTGTCGTGTATCCACCAGCGACACGAGCTAGCCAAGCCCAGAGAGCCGCCCGGCCAGCGCAGCCCGGTCCAACCCCCCGCTCCGCGCCACGCCACGCCGCTGCGCGAAGAACAAGAGCACCTCAGCCAATAGCATTACAGACACTCTGTCTGCGCGTCTTGTGTGCCTCGCCTCTTCGGTGCGCCGCGACGGCGCGGAATGCCGACAGTTCAATCACTTCCCCTCCGATCCTCCTGCTCTCTCCTACCCCCCCCCCCCCCC